AGGTACAGTGTGTACCTCTAAGGAGCTTCCCATCTGGGGAGCAGAAATGCACACACAGCAGCACATGTGATGGTAACTGAGCCTGTGACCCACCCAGGAACTGGGCAGGGCACACCAAGACCTGGAGGAAAGAATGACTTCTCAGGGCCTCCTACAATTGAGTAGCTAAGCCTGGACTAGAACATCATGTTTCCGGGAAACTCTGGTTTTTTCCATTCTACTCTGCAAAGGATGCGAACCAGGCTTATGAGGGAGTAAACTGGCACAGCTGAATCACATGGGACACAAGACTGGGCATGAGGGGCCTGGAGACCACTTTCGTGTGCTCAGTCTCCAAGACCAGCTCCCAGTACAGCCCAGGCCTGGTGGGCAGAAAGAAAGGGGAGGGATGGGGATTCGGTTCTACGCCTTCCCCAGCAACCCCTGCAATGGCACAGAAGACGGCTCAGAACACTGACACTTGCCGAAGTCTGGGCTTCCTGTCCTACGTTTGGAACATGGTATCTGGGGAGTCACAGTGTGTCCTGGGATAGGGAGGATGGAAAAGCAGAAATGGAGACTCCAGCAAAAACAGGCTGGGCCACTAGGCTATGCCTGACCAGAACAGGAGAGTCAGCTCTTCACGGGAGGGCTGCTGAGGGCAGAGAGAGGTAGGAAGAGCCTGTGTGAGTATCGGAGAGGTAGGAAGCAAGGGGGCCGGGGGAATGTCAGACGCTGAGATTTGCGGGAGACGGCCAAAGCCGGTATAGCCAGGAGAGGAGTCAGGCGGAGCAGCCTGATGCATGAGCTGACCTGGATCGCCCACCTTCACGGCCCACCCTGAGAAACCTGCCTCTGTGAGGGAGCTGGCAGCTGCCTCTCCTCCACCTCCCCAGCACTGATTTCCCCTTCAGCTGCAGGGGGCAGAGAGTAGTGCAGGCTTGGTGTGTGGTCTGTGCACAGGCTGGGGGTGCCGGGATAGCGTTCACCTGAAGTCTGAGACCGCCCCCCAACTCCTGCCTTAGCCTCAGCCTAAGTGTGGTCCCTGAATCTCTCTCAGGTCCCAGAGCTGGGCTCCAAGGCGTTCTCCTCACCTAGGCTTGCTCCCCAGCACATCCTGTAGCTCTCGGTCAGGCGCTCTACCTCTTTGGCCTTATGCTTCCACATCTATAAAATGAGAAGAGGCCTCTGTCCACACCTTCAGCCCAATTCCCTCCCTGGCACCAGCCCCAAATGGAGCTGGCTGGCAATTCACGCAGAACCAGGGGCAGGAGGGGCCTCCGCGGTATGGGCCTGAAAGGAGGAGAGAGGAAATGGCTGGGACCCACGACCCCGCCACGCCCAGGAGAGCCCTGAAAATACTGACATTTGGTATTCAGTCTCCCCACTCACACTCTGATCTGGTTGCTGAAGATGGCGAGGGGGATTCCAGAGGGACAAAAAAATTTGTGTCTCCTCCTCTAACTCCAGGGGAACAGAGGACAGGACACTGTCTGCTTACCCAATACAGTGGGTAGCACCTCTTGGGGCTTTGCAGGAAGAGGTTCTGCCTAGAACTATTCTGGGCTCTAAGAAACCCCAGCACTGGTCCACTGCTTACACACACACACACACACACACACACACACACACATGCATACACATACACACACGCACACACATATACACACACATACATACACATACACACACTGTTTTGAGACAGGGTCTCACTAAGTTGTCCCAGCTGGCCTCAAACTCACAATGCTCATACCTCAGTCTCAGAAGTAGCTGGGATTTGGGATTACAAGGCACTCTGCCATTTTTTTTTTTTTTTAATTTAAAAAAATGTTTTTGTCTTTTGTGAGACAGGGTTTCACTATGGAGTTCAGGCTGGGTTTAAGCTTACTTTGTAGCCCAGGCTGGCTCAAACTCGCAATGATCCTCCTGCCTCAGCCTCCCGAGTGCTGGGATTACAGGCCTGTGCCACCACTCCCAGGTTTTTTCTTTCTCTGCTCTTTTAAAAGTGACACCAGTCTCACAGGATCTCAACCTCCAACCCTCTAGCCCTTCTGACTTCCCTTCCACCCCTTCCCAAGTCCTGTCAATTCTGCCCTAAGCTGTCTGCTTTCACCGTTTTTCTGCCCTGGAATCACTTGGACCATTTGTTAGATACCTGAGCCTAAGTGCTGTATGAACCCTAACTCCCTTACCTCTCACAGCCTTTGGTGTACAGATGAGGAAACTGAACCACAGAAGAGTTAAGCACCTTGTCCCAGGCCAGGACGGGGGGCCAGGTAGGCTGCTCTAGAGCCTGGACTCTGAGCCTCTTGTCACAGGAGCTACCAGAAAGTCTGCAGGCTTCTCCCCTACACTTTCAGCCTCTCCTTTCAACTCCTCCCACATGCTGCTCACAGAGGAAAACTTCTCCTTCCTTATTTAAGAAGAGGCTATTAAAAATTATGACGACTGTTTCGTGTCAGGTCAAGAAACCTTCAAAACTTTCCCTACTTCCTAATATCATGCAAATAGAATAAGGGCCATCTCCAAGCTGGGGGTTCAAGGATGGGACGCCACAACCTCCCAGTTCTTCTGGAGAATCCTTCACCACTCTCAGCTCATTCCTCTAGCTATCTCCACACCCCCAGTACTGCCCACCCCCTCCCTGCCCAGTGAAGGGCGGGCAGAGCCTGAGTGAACCGACCTCCTTGAAGAAAGGCTGTGCTTTGATTCCCTGGGAACCAGCAAAGCTCCTGCCAGAGTGTGCCGCAGAGACAGCAGGACAAGCATGACGAATGAATGATCGCCTGAGTAACTGTGGAATCAAGCTGCTTGATAAGAGTGCAAACTAATTGTTCCATTAAACAACACTTGTGGAACTTAAGGCTAACACTTAACAGGTAACACCAACAGCTCCTCGTGTGTTGGCCACTGTGTAACGTACTTTACATATATTACCATGCAATCCTCACTATAAGCCTTTGGAGTTGGTGTTATCACCACCCTCCATCGTACGGATGACAGAACTGAGGCTTTGCGAAGGGAACTCACTTGTCAAACAGCTTTCAAGCAGGGAAGGTAGGATCTGCCTCTGTGGCCCGGAGTTGACCACTCCAGACTACCTGTCTCCAAATGCTGGAGGAATGTTGCATCCTACGCCAGCTTGTTGGTGTTACTTGCACTGACCATGTCAACGTGTCTGAGGAATATAAGGATTTGTATGATGTACGTTACTTGGGTAAGCATTTAACCTGCTAGATCTGTGCCAGGATCTAGTGCAGAAGCCTTCAGCTAGGAAAGGAGCAGTCAAGAGCTCTGGGTGGCTGCAGCCGAGTGAATGGGGAGAGGAAGAGCAGGTGGAATTCACAAACACGAAAATGTCGAAGCCTACATGAAGTCAGCTTCGCGTAATGCCACATGTCTGGGAATATTAATAGCTACAATTTATTGAGTGTGTTCCACATGCCTGGCACCGTGCTCAGTGCTGCCAGCACAAAAACTGCTACCAACAGGATCCTTAGAGTCTGATGTGGAAACAAACATTCCACAGTGCCATGTAACAGGTGCCACATCAGGGTGCTCCGACACTATAGGACGGGGGCATCTAACCTCGACTCAGGCAAGCAAGGAGGCTTCCTGGAGGAGCTGGTACTTGAACCATCAAGCAGGTACAAGAAAACACCTTGGGATCCTAGATGTGGAGAGAGGACAGGCAGCCATGGCACAGCCTGGGAACAGTCTGAGCAGTGCTAGGGCGGGAGACAGCTCCTGGAGGAAGGGCTTGGCACGCTGGGACTGAGAGCACATCGGGACAGAGCGGCCCAGGCTTAAACGCGCCTGCGGGAAATGGGTTATGGAATCGGGGATGAGAGGCAGGAAGAGTGGGAAACAGATTTCCGTAACTTCCCTGCTCCTTCACTGCCTGGCTTTCTCACGGGTCTTCAGGTGGCTCCACCTGGGAGACGACACACAAGTAGAAAGTGGACACACACACTGCACGAGCATGGCCCAGGTCTTGGCTTTTCATTCTGCTCTAGGAGGCGCAGACCCTTGTTTTTAGCCTGCACTCTAAGGCCTCGCTCTGGGGCAGCCCTAGACGCAGTGGGACAGTCTTCAGTTAATAATACCAACTCATGCACTGGCAGCACTTCCTTGTCTTCAAGATGCTTTTGTCAGTATAACCTGTGTGATTTACAGCCAACCTGGGAGGGCTGAGCTCTATCCTTAGCCTCTTTACCATAAGAGATGCTACAGCTCAGAGAGGTTAAGGCACTTGCCAAGGTCACACAGCCAGTAGATTAAACTGGGACTGGAGCCCAGTTGTGAGATGGCAAACTTCACAGAGACACTGCAGCAGCTGCAGAAACTGGGGTTTGGTGATGGCTGGGTCCCAAGGACATTGCTGGGGGGCAGGGTGGGCTGGGCTCTGGAAGGGGCTGGATGGAAATGGGGTGATGGAGGCTGAGTGGGGACAGCAGCTATGGAGAGGCCTTGAGAGGGAGCTAGGTGTGTCTCCAGAAAGACCCGGAGTCTCTCTGAGTTAAATGTCCCTACAGGGTTTCTAAAAATGGAAGTTGTATCTTCCCAATCATGGCTCTGTGAGACAAGGGAGGAAGGGACTTAATGCTCCCATTTCACAGGCGAGAAAAGCCAAGGTAAGGGGACCTGGCTACCTGGTTTGCCCAAGACTCATAGGAACTTAGGGTCTCAGGGCCCTGTTAGAAGCCGCCAGGCAGACAAGATTCCCTGGGCTTTCCCACTCTGCCGAGAAGGATGAAATAGAGGCGAAGACAGGAGTGTTAGGGTTGGAAACAGAAATGAAGGCCGCATTCAAACGTGGAGGGGACGGAGGCAGAGATGGTGACGAGATGGGGCCCCGACACCCAGCTCTGGTTACCGGCGGCGGCAGCAGCATCAGCATCAGCTGGTCGGGTGTCAGGGAGTCCCCGTGCCTCCTCCCTCCCCCGCGGACCCGTCCACTTGAGCTGCTCCGCAGCACCTTGCTGCCCTATCCCTGGGGAGGGGTGAAGGTAACCGGGGAGCGGGAGAGGAGGAGGAGCGCGCGCGCCTCCTCCCTGGGCCTGCGAATCCGCAGCCTGCGCTGCGCCTCCTCCGGGCGGCCCCCGCCGGCGCCCCCTCCTCCCCCCGCGCGCGGATGGTACGCTCCGGTCCGCCCGGCCCGGCTGCAGTGGATGTTGCTAGAGCCCAAGCGGAGGAAGGAAGAGACGCAGGCAGGCTGCGGTGACCCGAGCGGCCGGCCCTGCGAGAGGGACCTCTTCTCCGAGAGACCGGCATCATGACCCAAGGAAAGGTACCAGCATCTCCCCCGCCTGCGCCATCCCGCATCCTCCGGGCTCCCTCTTTCTCTCTGGACCACTCCAAGCATCCCCCAGGCTCTGTGGTCCTTGCTGAAGTCGCAGGATCAGAACCTCCCTCAGCCCTAGATTCTCCTCCCCTCCCGTCTCCCTTCCGCCCACGCCTTGGCATCACAAGGCTCTTCCCAGGTGCTCAGACCCTCAGAAGGACCCAGTCTGGGCGTGCAGTGCGACTGTATGTGTGTGCGTATGTGTGAGCCAGGGCGCGCCTTGATACCTATGGTCTCCCCCCAGTGACAGACCCAACCGCTTTCCGGCGTCCCGCACACCCACCACCTGAGTACCACCCCATCCCAGATCCCTGTCATTATTCAACATCTGGATATCTGGATACATTTCCTATGGTTGGGAGTTACTATGGCAACCATGCTTCAGGATGCTCAGATTTTTTGTTTTGGGTTTTGACCAGGCAGGGAACTGGATGAAAACATATTCTCTTTTTTTCCAGTTTTAGGCCTAAATTGAAAGGAGGGGGCTGGGCAGAGACTTGGCTGGCCCAACAAGGTTATGTAACATCAACAGCCTGTGGAATTATACAACCACTAAGGCCCAGAGCAAAGAAGGAGGGTCTTCTGGCCCTCTTTTGAGAATGTTAAGGATTGGGCAGAGGAACAGGAGAAGACCCTCCCACACAGCCCTCTCTTCCCTCTGAAACTGGTCTCAGAGCCAGTAACATCCCTGCCGGGCCCCTAGACCCTCCTCTCCCTGTTTTTAAGCTCTTTGGGTCTCAAAATGATGTCATTGGGTGATATCACTTCCTGCCATTGGCCAAAAATCACTTGGAAATGCCGGATACGTCTGGGGCCAGGTAGGCCCCAGAAGGCTCTGGAAGCCTTTATGGGAGGGTTGGGGCTGAGGTGAGTTTTCCTCTGGTCTGTGTTAAAGAAGGGGGTCTAGGAGAGGAAGGAACCCATTCCTACAAGCTTGCGCTCCCTGTCCCTTCCCTGAGAAGGCCTGGGAGTGTTGAATAAGTGCAAATGAATAGCCGCTGTACCACACCGCCGTCCTGTCCCATGAGCCTCCCCTTCCTCACCTCACCCACACCCCACCAGGTGGTGCACCTGCCCCTGCTGCTGTCCTGGGGTGAACATGCTCCCCTGCCGTGTTGGCCCCTCCTCCCCAGGCACCCACAGGCTCTCTGGGGGATAGACAAGGCTCTAGTGCAGTGGTCCGTGGGCCTGGTAGGAACCAGAAGTCTGCGGTGCCCTGGAGAGCCCAAGCCAGACTCCCTGCACGGGAGTCCTGCAGCCTCCCTCAGCGGCAGCTTTGACAGGGGCATTTTGGAGCCAGACCTAAGTGCCGCTTTCCGCGTCTGTCCTGCTGTTGTCTCCACATCCACAGCCCCCGCCATGCTCCTCTGCCCACCTCTGGCTTCACCCTCCTGCCGAAGGTGTGCGTGTGCAGGCAGGGTAGGGTGTCTCTGAGTATAACCAGGCCCCTCAACCTACATCGCCCTCTGCATGCAGTTCCCTCATCTGTTAAACACAGAAAGGGACAAAACTGGGTGCCTTCTGAGGTCCCTTCAGCGGCGGCATTTTACGATGTTGTCTCAGTTTGGGGGAGGGGATGAAGTTTCTATAGGTCAGGGCCACAACGGACTCTTAGAGGGGGGCCTCCTGCCTGCCCTCCATCCTGCAGTCCCTTTCCTCTTTTCCCTGTTTGTCATCTCCTCCTCTTTTCTGTTACCCATCTGTCCCCATCCTTGTCCCTGATGCCCCAGTGGGACCCAAATGTGGCCCTATGACTTCAGATGAGTCACTACTTCTCTTTGATCTTCAATTCCCTCATTTATTTATTTATTTGTTTGTTTGTTTTTTGAGGCAGGGTTTCACTGTGTAGTTCAGGCTGATTTTGAACTCATGGCAATCCTCCTGCCTCAGTCTCCCAAGTGCTGGGATTACAGGTGTGCACCACCATGCCCAGCAATTCCCTCATTTTAAAACAGGGATCACAAGCCTACTAGCCAGGCCATTCTTTGGACTCCAGGGAGAGAGTGGGACCATCGTGATCCACGCCTTTCCACATAGTCAGTGCTCACCAATGGGGGGCACTGCTAAGAATCATCTCCTTCCTCAGTTCTTATCTCAGTTTCACTGTGTGGCCCTGGCCAGCCTGAAGCTCAGTTCTGGCTTCAATAAAATACGGAGATTTTTGTTTGTTTTTGTTGGTTTTACTTTTTGTTTTGCTTACTGGGAATTGAACCCAGGGCCTTTGCCTCAAGCTACATCTCCAGCCTTTTTTATTTTGAAACTCAGTAAGTCACTGATCCCCCAGATTGGGCTCAAACTTTCAATCTTCCTGCATCAGCCTCCCCTGAGTGCTGAGATTACAAGTGTGCCTCAGCATGCCCAGCTTTTGTTTTGTTTTTTGAGATAGTTCTCACTTTGTAGCCCAGGCTGGCCTAAACTTGGGATCCTCCTGCCTCAGCCTCCTGAATGCTTGGCTTTTAAGCATTTATAATCATGCCCAACTTGGAATAGGGACATTCTTGTCCACACTGCTGCTTTTCCTATGTAAAAACACACCCAGGAAGGTTCCAGGAATTGAGGGGCTGGCCAGGAGGGGTTGAAGAAAGAAGTCTCTCTTTCCCCGGTGACCATCTCTCTCTCTCTCTCTCTCTCTCTCTCTCTCTCTCTCTCTCTCTCTCTCTTTCTGCCTCTATTCCACAGCTCTCCGTGGCTAACAAGGCCCCTGGGACCGAGGGGCAGCAGCAGGCAAATGCTGAGAAGAAGGAGACTGCAGCGGTGCCCTCGGCCCCACCCTCTTATGAGGAAGCCACCTCGGGAGAGGGGTTAAAGGCAGGACCCTTCCCCCCCGTCCCCACGGCTGTGCCTCTCCACCCCAGCTGGGCCTATGTGGACCCCAGTAAGTCTCTCAGCTCCGGGGGGCTGGGCATCAAGGAGAGCAGGTGAAACACCTCAGTAGGAGGAAGCTACCCGGTACGAGCCCTGCGGCCTGTGTAGTTGTAGCGTGGAGCTGTGTGGCTAAAAGCTTAGGACTTGGAGGATGGTTCTGAGTTTAAATCAAAGATGACTCCATAGGAGATGTCTTCAGTCCAGGTGCTTTCAGATAGGGAAGAAAGAATTTTCTTTTTAAGTCACTGGGGTTGGACAAGCAGAGGCAACAGTTGGGGGACAAAAACCAAGATCCAGTCTAGCTAGAAAGGCCCTCCTGGAAGCGGGAGATGCAGAGGCTCGGGAGAGATCAGAGTGGTCAGAAAAGGGCAGGGTGAGGCTGCAGCTGGCTGTAACCTTGGCTGGCCCCGGGCCCTGGGGGTGGGGACGCAGCTTTCACACACTGCACATTGTACTACTCTGAAGCCACAGCAGGGACAGGTCCCTGTGGAGGCCCCAGGGATGTTGGGGGCTAGGGATCTGGGGACCTGCCTTACCACTCACTCTGCTTGTCCCCTGCCTTTTCCCAGCCTCTGTTGTGGGGAGGAGGGCATGATGTGGGAGAGGTGTGTGGGGACCACCCTTGGCGTCTGTTGTCTGTCGCTGGTAGCCAGGCAGAGCACGCAGGCAGGGAGTTCGTGGGTAGATGCCAGTTCTTACCATCAAGGAGCCAGCCAGCGGGAGACCCACTCCTGGGCAGACCAGCCTGTGGAGGCTTTGCTTTAGGGTTAGGAACCAAAGCATCCCCGAGGCTATAAGAACCGGCCCCTCTTAGTTGGATATGGTGGTGCATGACTATCATCCCAGCACTCAGGAGGCTGAGTTGGGAGGAGTTCAAGGCCAGCCTAGCCTACAGAGAGACCTTGTCTCAAACAAACAAAACAAAACAAAAAAGCAGGTCCCCTCTTAAATTCTGCTCCCTCAGCAGTCCCTCCCCTCCTCCACTCTGCCCCTGCCTACAGAATTCTAGAAGGGATTCCGGGGACAATGGCCCAGACGTAGCCCCTGTTCACAGGGAGCAGTCAGGATGGTCCACACCTCCCACTACAAATCCTCTCGGCCTCAGCCTAAAGCCTGGAACACGCAGTCCCGTGTAACCTACTGGAAAGTTCCTGCAGGTCTGGTGTTTGTGGAAACCTTTCTCCCTTGCTGTGGTGTGAACGATGGGGTTGGCAGGGAATTAGGCAGAAGTTAGGAAGCAAAGGATAGAGTGCAAGTGTCTCCAGGACCCAGGACCCTTCTCCTTTCTCACATATCCATTGCTAGAATGGGCTGCTTTACTTCAAGGAATGTTTTTCCAAGGAATTGTTGAGGCAGGAAGACCCCTCCTTTTAGTCAGCATGTGACAGACATAAGTGCGTGCCAGGCAGTGTCTGGCTCCGAGCTCATTTTAGGGGCTTCAGAGACCCTCCCGGGATCTCTGCCCTCCCAGGGCTGACTGTGGACAGTGAGTGGACATCTACCACACAGTGATACAGGTACTGTGTTGGAGGCCCGGGCAGCTCACCTAACACCAGCCAGGCAGGGAAGGCTTTCTGGAGGGAGGGACGCCCACACTGAGTCCTGAAGGACGCCATGAGTTAGCCTGGTGAAGGGGCAGAGAAACGAGGGTTCAAGGCTGAAAGAATAGGATGTTCAAGGACCCAGGACAAGAGAGCGCATGGCTGGAAAAAATGCACACAGGCTGAGAACAGTAGGAGGGGGGAATGCGCAGGGCGCTTAGAGGACTCCGCTCATGGGGCTTTCAGGAGCGGATGGCCATGGGGAGCCATAGAAGAGCTCAAAGCATGGCAGGGTGGTTGGCTTTGAAGACCAAAACAGAGGCTGTTGATGGGGGTGGTTGTGGAGGCCTGGTGGGGAGAGTGGGGTGGAACAGAGTGGATACAGCTGAGGACTTGGGAATGGCCCTGACAAAGGGCACAAGAGTTGTGCCCTTAGTTACTTTTCTCTCATTGCTGGGACAAAATACCCGACACCCAAAACTAAGGAAGGAAAGGTTTATTTAGCTCACAGGTTGTGGAGGTTTCAGTCCATAATGAGCTGGCTCCAAGGCAGGCTGGCATGGCCCAGGGGCAACACTTAAAGGTGGCAGAAGACAGCAAAAGCAACAAAGGCAAAAGTGGGGGAGCAAGCCTCTTCTCCTCCCTTATACGGTGAGCAGGCCATACCTGCCCTCGGACAGGTGCAGCACTCACACCATCTTGGTTCCTCCTCCTGCACAGGCTCAGGATGTTTACAAAGTGAGGACCCTGGGCCCCTGCTGAGTCACTTAGTTAAACTTCCAAACGTCTCAAAAGTTCACACAGTGAACAGCATCCTAGAGTGGTCAGGGCGTGTCCTCTACACCCCAGGATGTAGAACTGCTGAGTTTCTGAGTTAAGCTTCGAGATGCCTCAAGTTGACACAAGGTATCAACCACAGAGTAGTGTAGTCCCCACCAGGAACAGAGCACATAGGCTTTCATTTGTGTCTAATTTGGACCCTATAAAATGGGGATCCCAGTCTCATATCAGAAGGGGCTCAGAGAAGCCTGGTGTCTTGCTCAAGGTCACACCACTCCTTAGACCTGGAGGGTGGATGCACCTGTTTGTGGGATCTCTTTGTCCACGGTCTTCCAAAAACCTGAGTTCTGTAATCTTCACCCCCACCTCTACTTCTTGCCCTTGTGCTGGCTTTATTTCCCCTCCCAGGTCCTGCCTGGCCCTGGTTGCCAGCTCTAGCACTGCAGTCTGGCACATGCACCCAGTCTCCAGCTCCCACCCCAAGGGCCTCCACGTAAGCCAGGGTCAGGACCTTTGACTCGTGTGTACTAAGCGACCTAGAGAATGGCTGTCCTTTCCTCATCACCAACCACGAGGGAGCCAGAGTGTTCCAGGAGGGGGAGGGGACATAAGACGGAAGGCCACATTTGACCCCCAGAGCTCCAGCCAGGGTAGAGGGAAAAAAAAAAAAAAAAGACAGCTCATTCCCAGGACCCAGAGCAGGAAAAGCAAGAAGTGACGAGGAAGAGAGACCGAGGGGTGGTCTAGGGTATTTTGCAAAGGGGCTGGAGAGAAAGACTTCAGTGGGTCACAGAGCCAGCTTGACCAAAGGCAGCTCTGAGCAGGTGTCCTTGAGGCATATTTCCAGGCATGAGGAGCCCTCACAGCACCCACCTGCCCACACAGGCAGCAGTTCCGGCTATGACGGCGGTTTCCCCACCGGACACCATGAGCTTTTCACCACCTACAGTTGGGATGACCAGAAAGTTCGCCGGGTTTTCATCAGAAAGGTAATTGCCTCTCCCTGACTCTCCCGCAGTGAGAGCTCAGGGAAGAAGCCCTTGAAAAAGCCCTTGGTCCCGCCGCCGCTGGCAGAAGCTGTTATCCTCGTCTCGAGTGACCCTAGCTGATGGCTCCTATGGGGAAGTGTTTCACAGGTGTCACTGGGACCCCAGCGCCCTCTCCTCTGGGTACCATGTGCCTGCTCCTCCCATGGCTCTGGGGTCCCCCAGCTTTCCTTTCCACTTGTCCTGGGTTAGCTCCAGTGCCCTGTAAGGAGGGTGGAGCACCCAAGAAGCAGATCTGCAGATTTGAATGAGTTCCTGGGAGCTGGGGTCTCACTGAGCCTGCCTGGCCTCTCTTCCCAGGTCTATACCATCCTGCTCCTCCAGCTGCTGGTGACCTTGGGTGTTGTGGCTCTCTTTACCTTCTGGTGAGTTGGTGATACAGACTGGCACCTTCCCGGGGCAGCCATGGCCGGGTCCCCTGGAAAGATGGGTGGGGGAGCACCTCTCTTCGGGCTAGGGAAGAACCGTTAGACGTTAAAGTGCATGACGCAGCCCAGGCATAATGCTGGGCATGGTGGTGCACACCTGTAATCCCAGCACTCTGGAAGCTGAGCGTTCGAGTCCCCATCGAGGGCAGGGTGGACCTGGTGCCCTCTGGGCCTGCCAGGGTGTCTCAGACAGTCCTTGCTTTCCAGCTACCAGTTCTCCCCAGAGAACCCCAGGTCTCAGCCTGGGGCTGGAGCTAGGCCTCCGACCTGCAACCCTCCTCCCTCACACGTCCTGTGAACTGTGCTGGGCAGGTACAGATACTGAACCGGAAGCAGACTCCCAGGGTAAATTCTGACTCTCTGTCCCTCCCTTCTCTGCAGTGACCCCATGAAGGACTATGTCCAGGCCAACCCAGGCTGGTACTGGGCATCCTAGTGAGTATACCCCAGCCTTACATCCTTCCCAGAGGAAGGCCAGTGGCAGGCAGAGGGCATCTCTGTTCCGCTGACAGATCCAAGCCCAGGGCTTCTCCACACCCCGTGGGGACTGACCTCACGGACCCCCAGCCCTGCCTTGTTCTGCTGGCTTCAAGAGCAGGAGCCTTTCTAGCCTGTTGCAATCTGATGGGACGGATAGGAGGTGGGGGAGGTCCTGGCTCCTATAGAAACTGGGAGGGGTGGGATTGAGGCCACGGCTGGGGAGACCCCATGCCTTGGCCCTAAGGGAGAGGGGGCCGGAACACTTCATCCCACACTAATGAGAATGTTGCTACTCTCATTAGCACCATTGTTATTAATGCTTATGAAATTATTAATCATAATAGCCACCACTTAAAGAGTGCCTAATAAGGGCTGGGCATTATTCTTTGTGCTGCTTGTACAGTATTGCACTGGATCCCCAGATCTACTGGTATGATTACTTCACAAAACTAAGGCACTGAGAGCTTGAGTAATTTGCCCAAGATCACACAACTAGTCAGTGGAGCAACTGGGATTCAAACCCAGGGTTCAGGTTAAGGCTTGTGCTCCTAATCCCTCTGCTTGGCAGTCTCCTTTCAGCCGCAAGCCACTTGGCTCTCGCTGGTCCTATGCACTGTAAGGGCTAAGGCCGGCAGCTTGGGAGAAGAGGTTTGAGGTTGTAGGCAGGTGATTCAGATCCTCTGTCTGGGGAACTAAGGAGTAATTCTGGATAATTCCAGACCAGAGCCACCCTGGGGCTCAGAGATGAATTGCTCTTCCCATAGGCTCCCTTGGCACCCACTGCCAGCCCAGCCTTATACCAGCGCTCCTGGGGGCGTCAGCCTCTGCAGGGCAAGGGAGAGGGCAGCAAGCAAAGACGCAGCATTCAGGAGAGGGGAAGGTGTGAGCTCAGGCACAGGACATTCAGCCCACGGGGGTGCACCTCAAAGGATGGGCCGAGAGGACTGGGGACATCATGGCCAGCAGAGAACTGGCTTTGAACAAAAGTATACGCATGGGAAAACATGTGATCCACTTGGTGAACTAGGGAAGGGGCTGGCAGAGGGCTGCAAGGACATCTCAGAGCACAGATGCTCGAGGCCCTGACTGCCAGCTGAGGAGCGTGCACACCGCGCCTGTTCCGGGCAGGCTCCTAGACAGAGATCTGGTGGAGACAGGGACTCAGCCCAAAGCCTCTGTGGACCAACCCGAGCCCAGAGCACCGAGGGATGGGCCCGAGTTAGCACAAGCCAGCCAAAGTCTGGCAGTCGGGAGACTCATCCTGGCCCCTGGGGCTCGTTGAAGAAGCAGAGCTGCCTCTTCAAGCAGGGGTTCAGGGAAAGAGATGTGCACACCCAGGGCTTCTCCTAGGGCACGGGACAGAGGCCCTGTCTGCAGACCTAGCAGACAGGCATGTGTCTTGGGGAGCTGGGTGGCACTAGATGGTAAAGCTAATGAGGCCCCAGGGACTACCACCCTGGCCAGGCCACCTGGGGGGTTGGCATGGCTCCCATCGCGTCAGCACTGCCTGGTAGCCTTGAGCCCCCTGAGGGGGCAGGGATGGAGTCCATGGGCTCCTGCTTGGCCTTCTGTGTGAGGGTCTGTGGGATTCCATGCCCTGAGCAGATGGCTGCAGGGGGACAACCCAGAATCGGGCAGGGTACTCGCAGTTGGGTGTGTGCTGTGGGAGGCACGGACACTGGGAGAACTGGAGCAAGGAATGGGGTGCTCTGGGGCCACCTCCTCACCGGCTCCAGGTGGAAAACAGAGCAGGGGTTGTGCTGTGTGCTTTCAGGGTGGGTGCAGATGGAGAAAAGTCAGAATGAGGTGTGGATTGTGTGCTTTAGGATGCCGGCCTCTTCCTGCAGGAAGCCTGCCAAGGTTTTTCCCCTGTGGCCTCTTTGCTCCTCAGCTCTCCCCATCCTGCCTGAGTCTGTGCCCTCTGAGTTTGAGCAGGTCTCACCGCTTCCAAACACCAAACTCTCCCAGAGGGCTTCTGCCTGTCTCTTTTAGAACGGTAATAACAGCAATAAGAATAAAACTGCTTTTTTTCTATGCTTGCGGTACTGGGCTAGTCGCTTTACATATATTTTTCATTGGTCCTTTCAGCAACCCTTCCAACTGGGTACTATTATTATTATCCCCATTCTACAGATGAGGAAATTGAGACCGAGAGAAGTTGTTGTTTCCTGAGCAGCACAGCCAAGATACAACCCAGGTCCTTCTGGTGGCAAAAGCCCTGTGCTTTGCTGCCCATAGGTGTCATTTGGGTCCTGAGCAGGACCAGTTGAGGGAGGACCTTGGCTTTGGTAACTGACCTTCACCTGAGCCTTACTCCGTGCCCTGATGCCCTGAACAGGCCGTCCTAGGCCTTGGGGCTCCAGCTCTGAGGTGCAAATCCCTCGTTCTCTCACTCTCCTCTAACTCATTCTCTGTCCCTAAGATGCCAGCCTCCCCGCGCCCAGCTCCAGCTTTCTCAAGGTCCCAGCTGGCTTCCTGGCTCCCTGCGAGGGTTGTCGCCTTATTGTCTGATTGCTCCCACTGAGCCATGCTGTCTGCAGCACAGCTGCAGTGGGGGTGGGGGGTGTTGCAGGGTTGGAGGTGGGTTGTTCATCAACCAGCTTCTAATTACAATAATAGCAGCTCCCGTGGAGGAGGAGCCCGAACCCCACACCAAGCCCAGCCCTTGGTAACTGAGTGCATCGCCTGCATTCTCTCACCTGGCTTCGAGCAGCCCAATGGGTTGGTACCAGGATTCCTGTTTTACAAAGGAGGGAACCGAGACTTGGCTATTAAGTAACTCAAGCAAAATTACAGTGGTAGTGACAGCCCTGGGACACGAGTGCTGGCATCAGGCTCCAAAGGTGCACCATAGTGCCTGTGTCCTGGGTCCCTGTCTCTCTGACTTCCTCCTGATGCCTTGTCTTGAGGAGCTAGAGACCAGAGAGAAAATGAGGTGGGGCTCCTGCCCTCAGGAAGCTTCCCATCTGGTCAGGGTGACAGGACCCACATCACGTAGACACACAGAGAGGGCACATTATTATCATTGTTGTTCAGGTGACTGGCCAATGACTCAAGTGAGACCAAACGAGCAGACGCTGGCCTGTTTCTCAATTGAGCAGGACAGTTCTGCTGTCCTACAGGAGCAGAGCACTCAGCAGCTCTGGCTTCTAGTCCCAGATACCAGCAGAACTTCCAGTAGATCCACATTATTTGAGAACCACTGAGAACTGGAAAGGGAGCCAGGTGTGGTAGCTCACACCTGTTATCCCAGCATTTAGGAGGCTGAGGCAGGAGGATCCCCGTGAGTTCAAGACCATCTTAAACTGCGTATCAAAACCTTGTAAAATAAAACAACACAAAAACAACGAATTGGAAAGGGTTAACATAGAGATGTCCCAGTCATTGAATCCCATAAGCTTATGTCAACCCTTGCATTGCTTTTTGTTTGTTTGTTTGCTTTTTTGTTTTCATTTCATCCAGTAATATGAAAAGAGTATCTACCACGTACCAGGCATCAGGTTATGTGATAGGAATATAAAAGGAATAAGCTGTAGGCTGCCCCCTTACCCAGAAGCTACCTCTGGGTGGGAAGCTAGGCAAACTGGCCCACAGAGTAGGAATGCAGGCTCGAGTGAGATTTACCCGGGGTGCACTGAGGAAGCCGTCTGAAAGAGGGAGCCCCAGATGTCCTTGCCAGTTGGTTTTCCAGCAAGAGCCGCGTGTGGCAAGCAGGTTGGGAGGGTGCAGAGAGGACTGTGATGGGAAGGGCAGAGGGAGGGCAGAGTGTGGAGTGAGCAGGCTGCAGAGGAGGGAGGGTTGGACCAGGTTAGCATTGCCAGGCCTTTGGGAATTTTAGATGGGACAGTCCCATGATTGGATGTGGCTGTAGCCTGGGAGGTAGAAGGCAAGGTTGGAGGCAGGAGGACCGGATGGACTCTTGCTTCAGCCCAGCCAGAGAGAAGAGAATAGACGGGGCCAGACCTCCAGGGGTGGTGGCGGGAATGGAAGGAAGAGTGCAGCTTTGAGAGCTGCCCGAGTAGGAGGATAAACAGAGCCAGGTGATTAATCAGGCGTGGCAGGGAGGAAGTCAGTGATGCTGCCGAGACTGCTGGGAGGCTGACTGGGTGGATGCATGGTGGCCTGTGCAGCCAGGGATGCAGGAGAAGGGGCAGAAAGGATGCGGAGCGCAGCTCCACCCTGCTGAGTTTGACGTCTTTTTGCAGGGCCACATCTGCCCATAGGCAACTGGATGTTTCAGTCTGGGGTTGAGAAGGAAACCATAGAAAACGAGGTGTGGGTGTGAGTCCTGTGGGTAGATGAGCCCCTAGGGGGAGTGCGTAAGAACCAGGTGTAGTCAGAGACTTGCTGGTGTAGAAAGAAGGGGTGCCCAGGGAAGAAGGAGGGGATCCAAAAGTATGTCCTTGTGGAACCCAGGAAAAAACAGGAGTGATCAGATGTTGAAAAGTGAGTGTCATCCGGACTCAGTGAGGTCACCCTGGTGTGGGAAAGCCAGCTCTCCTTAAGTGGGGCTGACGCAGGGTTCCAGGGTTGCGGAGATGGAGAAGAGAGAACCGTGAATGGAGACTGTGTGTTCTCCAAGGTTGGTTTCGAGGGCAGAGAGAGTGGCCATAGCTAGACCTGGAGAAGACGTTGGATGAAGGTGGTGAATGGCTGAGGAGATTTCTGTGGGAGGAGTGCGGCCAGCGGGAAGGTGAAGGGGAGGTCACGAGGTGATCGAGGGCACGGGGGGATTGGCCTGGGTGGGGAGGAGAGATAGGGGAGTCCATAGCATTCTGTGAGGTTTGCAGGTGGCAGGCAAGGGAGCCCCATCTCATTGCCTCAGACCTTTCTGGGCCATACCAGGCAGATTGTGCTGCAGAGTGAGGCCTGGCAGGGGGGAAGTTTGGAGTTGCTGCCGTGCCGAGGGCAGGTGAGAGGATGGAGGAAGAGGGAGGAAGGGGGGCAGTGCCATGATGAAGGCCCACTGGGCTTTGAAACTCCTGCCTTGGTGGAGGCACTGCCCTCACCACTGCATCTCCAGGTCTCAGCCTTCCTCTCCCACTGCTCGGACGGGCCTCTGCCTCCCCTGGTCCCCAGAAAATGCTCAGAGCTCAAGCATTGTCTCAGAACTGTCCCGAGAACCCTACTGCCTCCCACTGGGCGTGGCCGCCTGATCCAGAAACTCACTCCCGGTGTCACTTCCTGCTTGTACAGCACAGCCACAGGCCTCGCAGGCCGAGCTTACACCCTGTGGGACAGATGAACAGTAACTGAGGAGATCGGTACAGGCAGTGATGGGGCTGACAGGCAGTACGGCTTAGTGGTTACAGGTGAGCTCCCTGGAGCCAGAACTCCTGGGTTCTCATCCTGTTTCTACAGCTTAGATCCTGATGAACACACAGGCATGACCTTGTGCCTCAGTGGAAAAGTAGAGTGTATGTCATGGAGATGTGAGGACTGGGCCGGGGATAGAGCGCAGTGGCATAAGCGCCTGTCTGGCAAGCACAAGGTCCTGAGTTCGATTGAAAAGATATGAGGGCTACTATGTGTAAAGCATGTTTAAAACTCTGCTGAGCACATACCATAGAAAATACTGTAGGTGAGCTTTTCAAATATCAGTCATGACTGGGAGCCAGTTTGGGTGGGCTGCTCAAGAACAGCTGCCCCAAGGCCCCCAAGACTCAATAGTGCCAGAAGCAGACTCGACTGATCCCCCTTTCTGTCTTCTGGATTTGGTTAACTGCCCTGGCCCTTGCGAGGCTCTAGGATGACCATGGCCTTCTCCCCACCACCCAGCCTTCGTGGCACCTGTGGGCAGTGGTGGCAGAGAGTGGGAAGAGCAGGACACTGGGTAGGGGACCCCAGGCGGGCTTCGCTGACTTACCCGTTCTCCTGTCTCTCACAGTGCTGTGTTCTTTGCCACCTACCTGACCCTGGCTTGCTGTTCTGGACCCAGGTATGATTAAGGGCTTGAGTATAAGCAGGACCTTGAAAGTCCTGGCTCCAGCCCTGCCTGCTTCCCGTGTGCTCTGCACCCCTGAGAAGTAGCCATCCCTTTGTCAAGCAGGCCTGTCCCTCCCCCACCACCTTGGCACCTCTGAAGTAGGCAAGGGCAGGCAGACAGATGGGGCGCATGGGGGTTTGGCTGAAGGAAGAGGCTCCTGGCAGCATGGAAGTGGGTGCAGAGGGCCCTTCCTGCAGTGGCGACTCCGCTCGGAACCCCTTGGTTTTCCTTACAGGAGGCACTTCCCCTGGAACCTGATCCTGCTGACCATCTTTGTAAGTGACTGGGACAGATGCTGAGCGGGCTGGAGGAAGGCTGAAGCAGGGGAATGTGGGTTGAGAACATCTGATGTGAGGTCCCCGGGGCGCAGGGGTGTTTTCACCCCCTCGCTCCACCAGGACGCTTCACCTTCCCTTTCCAAGAGGGCCGAGCTGCCTCCCTCTCCCCTGACTGTCTGTGCACTGTGCTTTTGTTCTGAGGAGGCTCGTGGGGGCATCCCAGAGCTACGGATAATGAAGGAGAGTACGTCTCTTCTGGTGGTGGTGATGGGGGCAGGGAACCAGAGCTGCCTAAGAGAGAGAGACAGCTGTCCCTAGGACCCACACACTGGCCTGGGAGACACTGCTTAGCCAGGCCTGCATCTGATCAGAAACCTGTGCAGGGGTGAAGCAGCCGCTGCGTGGAGGGCTATATGCCTGGAGTGGAGGTATACGCCTAGAACTCCCAAATGTAAGTTTTGGAGCATCCTCTTACTCTGCCTGTCTTTTTAGACCCTGTCCATGGCTTACCTCACTGGGATGCTGTCCAGGTAAAGGGAACAGGTGCATGGAGACAAGGGCCCCTGCGCAGGGACCAGCCATACTCCGAGGGGAGCTACCCCCAAACCCTGTCCTTCCCAGGAGCATTTGGATGGGGAGGTGGCTCAGGCAGCAGGACACTTTGGCCTAGAGCCCGCTTCCAGGGTGCTCACCTGGCCAGGGCTCCAGGACCTGGCCAGGTTGGTGGGGTGGGGGTGAGGAATGGGGGGAAGCAGGGTGACTGCTCTCAAGCTGCAGATTAGAAGGCCCCAGACTCATGATCCTTCAGTTACTAGTAAGCCACCTCCAGGTTCCAGCAGACATTCCCCCACCCCTTCTCCCACCTGTTCAGGACCCTTCTACCTAATAGTGAGCCTCAGCAGGCCTAGGAGACCAAGGGAAGGGCCAGAACCAAGAGAGGGCGGGTCCTGAGGAAGGAGACAGGTCAGAGCCAGAGGTCTCCAGATCCGGGCCTGGCAGAAGAGCTGGCTGCAGAGAGGCTGTGGGGGAGTGGGACCTGTGGGAGCTGACACTGCCCCTCCGCCCTCAGTTACTACAACACCACATCTGTGCTGCTGTGCCTGGGAATCACGGCCCTCGTCTGCCTCTCGGTCACGGTCTTCAGCTTCCAGACCAAGGTCAGCTCTGAGGCGTGTGGGCCGGGGAGGATGGTGGGGTGGGGCTCCCAGCTGGGGCCTGGGCTAAGCGGAGGCAAAGGGGTGAGTTGGATCAGGGCAGGACACCTGGGAGGTTGGGAGGGGAATACTTGGTTCTGGGGGTAAGCTTTTGACCCTGAACTTCTGCCTCAGGCAGTGCACTGCCTGGGGGCTCCATGCAGCCAGAGACAGTGCTGACGCCCTTCTCCTCCCGCAGTTTGACTTCACTTCCTGCCAAGGTGTGATCTTCGTGCTGCTCATGACCCTCTTCTTCAGCGGACTCATCCTAGCCATCCTCCTACCCTTCCAATACGTGAGTCTCCACTTGCAGGCTCCTGGTGGGGCAGGGGAGGCCCCTGTGGGGTGTTGTTCCCTCCTACACCTCCAGGGCAGGCCTAGGGCCAAAGCCCCACAGCCTGCCATCCTGTCCTGCCCCTCCTGGCCCCTGCCCTAGGCATCTTGGCAGGCCTATAAGCAAGCAAACAAGGAGGCTTTTCTTGGCAGGTCTGGGCACCAGCCCATCTCCTTGAGCCGCATCCGGCTTCACCTTTCCCATCATCCTGTGGAGGGTGGAGGGGAGCCTCAGGGAGGGGTGTGGAGCCGCCTGTGCCTGCCGGGAACCCACCAGGCCTAGAGGGGCCCTAAGGAAGGGTCTTCTGGGCTCCTGGGGGATCAGCCTAATCCAAAGAGGCAGCATCCAGCTGAGGCAGGGGGACCAGAGCAGACCCTCATGCCATAGAGCACCCCCCAACTGGAGCTCTACTCTCAGCAGTTCCAGGGTCGTCAGCCTGGCCTGGGGAATGTCGCCTGAGACTGTGCAGGTGCACAGGCCACTGCACGTGGGAGGGAGGATGGGGCATCCCAGGAGGGCCTGGAGGTTGGAATCCTGGGTCCCCAAGTGAAGAAGCCCCCAGCCGCCTTCGGCACCTGGTCCGCCATCGTGCCTCTTCTTCCTTGGGCTGGGACGTAGTCCTCACCGCCCCTCACCTACTTCCATCCTGCCCAGCCCCAGCCTCAGGACATTTGGCTTCCAGTCCAGGACACCAAGATTGGGTCTGGCATTTCCTTGGCTTTTCCTAGGATCCTGTTGACGAAGGGAGGGACCGGAGCTGGCCTTGTGTGTCTAGGATGGGGAGGGGGATAAACTTCAAAGAACCCTTTATTGACCTAGGTCTGGTTGACGGGATGCCTTTGTTTCCAGGAATCTTCTAAGTTTCCTGGGAGGGCCCCACTGAGGGCAGAGCTAGCATGGCACCTCCTGTGCACAGGCTTTCAAACGGCAGCTAGGTGCTCCTGAGATCTGGGGAGCAGGGGACAGGAGTACACTGTCTTGGCCTTGGCAGACAAGTCCATACACACCTGGCAGCTGGGCATGGTGGCACTCGCCTGTAATCCCAGCACTTGAGAGGCTGAGGTAGGAGGATTGTCATGAGTTCGAAGCCAGCCTGGGCTACATAGTGAGTTCAAGGCCAGCCTGGACTACAGAGCAAAACCCTGTCCTAAAAAGAAAAAAAGAAAAAACACCTGGCAGACCCTCCAACACCCCCCCACACACACATCCTGAGTTCAAGTCTTGACCTGCTATCATGGGGTCCCTTGTCCCTAGTGTAGAGCCACGGCTGAACAGCTAGGAGAAGGTCAGGGCCAGGATAGGATGAGTCATCCTCACTCAGCCTGAGCCTGGGGCTGTGCCTTGCAGGAAGAAGCTCCCTGCCTGTCATTCTGTGATCACCTGTGGGCCCCACCCCGTCGTCTTGAGTGCCCAGAGAATCAAGGACCCTCTCAGTCCTAGGGCTTCTTAGGGAGCCCTGGGGAGGACCATCCCACACCCTCCATTCTCTGGGCTGAACCTCCTCCCGGTGTCTCTGCTCACTACCCTCTGACGGTGCCTAAACCCATTGTTCCTCTGCCCCGCAGGTGCCCTGGCTCCACGCAGTCTACGCCGTGCTAGGAGCGGGTGTGTTTACATTGGTGAGTTTGGCTCAGCTTCTTGGGGGCCACCTCCTCAGCCTTGAGATCCTCTCCCTAACCCCTCCACCAACCCTGTCTCCCTCACCATCTTCTTCCCAAAAACCTTTTTGGAGTGCCTGGGGACATTCAGGGAATTCTGTCTGGTGTCAAAGACAGAACAGCTGACCTGAGCAGGGGCACAGGAAGGTGGTCCCAGCAGGATGAAGCTGTAGACAGAGGCAGAGCTGGAGATGGTCTGCACTGTGGTAGGTGTGGGGGCATGGAGGTGTCCTGCCATGGGAACCAAGTTAGTGTTGTTCTCCTAGAGCAATCTGGGAAGGCTTCTTAGCACTAGAGTGATTCCAAGAACCCTGTAAGAGAGAGGCATAGTGTGAATGAGCTTGTTTTTTGCTGTTCTCACCAAATTGAGTATTGTTGATGATGACGATGGCTATGCTAACAATTACAGTTAATATTTACGGAGCTCTTGCTTCCTCCCGCAAGCTTTCCATGTGCGCTTCATTCCCACCATACATTTGTAAGATAGGCTGTACTGTCACTAAGGGGAGATGAGGAAACGGAGGCTCGTAGATGTGAAATACGTGTCCGAAGTCATACGGCACTCTCAGAAGTTCAAGGGGCAGACTGAAACTCCTGGGGGTCTGGCTCGAGTCCCACTCAGGGGCAGAGGCTAGGTGGCAGGAGTGGGAAGCAGATGCCCAGGAGACGGCAGTGACTGGGGACAGGCATCAGCCAGAGCAATCTAACTCTGCTCAGATGGGCTCCAGACACCTGCATGAGAGTGCCCGAGGATCCGGCCAGGTGGGCAAGGTGGTGGAGATGTCTTCAGGGGAAGGCACCCAAAGTAAACAGCCATGACAGTGACGGCAGGAAACACTCTCCCTTACTAATTCCAGAGCAGCTAAGTGATGGGCCCAAGGCCTCCTGGCAAGATAATGACAAGTCAGCGAAGTGTGGGGTGCCAGTCTACTTGGGACATTCTCAGTTTTACCACTGAAAGTCCCACTTCTTGATGAACTCTAAAATCCCAAGTAAACGGAGGTGGTTGGTCACTGTAAGACACTCACTTCTCCTGAGTCCTGGACCGGTGTGCTTACCCCAGGCCCTCTCTTTTAAATAGAAGTATACTTGAAAAGGATTGGGTGGGAAATGGACTGCAAAGAAAGGAAGAAGAGGGGCAGCACATAGGAGAGCAAGCCTGGGTACAGCGTCCGGAGGCCTCAGAAGGCAGCCTTTGCCGGGCGTGGTGGTGCACGCCTGTAATCCCAGCACTCGGAGCCCGAGCCAGGAAGATCACTGTGGGTTCAAGCCCAGCCTGAACTACATAGCTAGTGAGACTGTCTCTTAAAAAAAAAAAAACAAACAAAAAAAAACGCTGCATTTGCCAAGGACTGGACAGGCAGAGTTGGAGGAGGGTGAGCATCCACGGAGGGCTGATAGGTGCGTACCTGGCATCACGTGGGTCAGGCCACACCCAAGTGTGGGAGCTGTGCAGGGAGGTTGTACAGAGGAGTAAGGCTGCGTGAATAGTAAGCCCTTAAATCTGTTCAATAATTCCTAACGTTGTTAGATTAATAAAAATAATCCCAGCCACCTGTTCCACCCGTTGCATTCTGCAAAACACTTTCACACCTACGGTATTACCTCACTAGATCTCATACCACAATCTGGTGAGAGAGGCAGAACTGAATTGTCTTCCTCCTCAGAAGCTCTGAGTGTTAAGGGGCTAGCGTGAGGTCTCACAGCTGGTAAGGGGCAGATCTAGCAGATCAAGAACCAGTGTCCTATGCCCAGCCTGGTGCCATCTCCAGTGCCCCTGTAGTCACCCTCAAAGAGGACAACTTCTGTTGGTTTGGGGCTGGGGAAGTCTCCCCAGAAATTTTTCCTCTCTCTCCTGCACCCTCAGTGTGGCCCCTCTACGGGGTTGGTCCCTTCAGCATGAAAATGCTATAATTTCTCCCACCTGAAGGAAAAAACTAACAAAACACTCTTGACTCACATTGCCCTCAAGCTCCTGCCCCGTTCTCTGCTCCTTATAGATAGCAAAATTCCTTAGAAGAGAATCTATACTCCTCATCCCCAAGCTTTCTTCTCCCTTTCCTCTCCCATTCCCTTAACTTTTTTTTTTTTTTCTGGTGGTACCGAGGATTAAACCCAGGGCTTCCTACATGGCGAAGCACATGCTCTGCCACTGAGCTACGCGCCCAGCCCACTCAACTCTCTTTAAAACGCTCTCATCCGGACCACCTGTGGCCTGCAGGCACTAAATCCATCAGTCATGTCTCAGCCAGCCCCCTGCCTGAAGTTGAGTATCATTTGATGCAGTTGTTCACCCCCCACCATTATTTTCTTCCCTCAGTGTCAGCACCCCACCCAGCCCTGCTCTTCTCCTGCTGCCCCTTTTCAAGGCCTGCCCTGGCTCCCTGAGTTCTCTTTCTGCTCTCTGTCTCACTAGGGAGCTCAAGCAGGCTCAGGGCTTTGAATACCATCCTTTATGCTGAAGGCTGTAAATTTTTATCTCCACCATGGACCTCCTGTCTTGAATCCCAGACTAGAATGTCTGACTGCCTAATCAAGTGTCCCCATTTGCAGTGACCCAGACTCCCCCAGATTAGCATGTGCAAAACCGACCTGCTGCTCCTTCCCTGGAGATCTGCTTTGCCCACAACCATCCCCGGCTTCCACTCACTCAGGTGCATCCTTGGCTCCCCTGCTTTTCTTCCATCCCCAGCACATCCCATGACCCCACCTCCTCTCCAGAACCTGGCCACTGCTGTCCACCCTCAGGCCCTCCTGGGGGCACAGCACCACCACCTCCTGCTGGGCGTGTGGCAATGGCCGCCTACAGCCTGCTCCACACAGCAGCTGGGGTGACGCAGGTCAGGTCATCCCCAGTGTGACCTCTGGAAGTCCCAGTCCCCTCCAGCCCGCCCTCCCCACTGGCCCCTGCTCCCCAAGCACAGGAGGCTCACTTTGCACCCCTCCCAGGGCTCCCAGCTCTGTCTCTTCCCTCAAGGCTTTGCCTGATTGCAACAGCGCTGTGCACCGGAGCTATTGCTCCTGTCCGCTTCCACAGACCTATTTCTCTCCATAGCACTCTCAACCTCTGACACACGACATATTTCTCTGATCTGTTATTATTGTTTTTCTCCCTGTAGCAGAATGTAAGTTCCTTGAGAACAGGGGGTTTTGTCTGGCACCTAGCACACAGTAGGAGGCACCTAGCACACAGTAGGCACCTGTAGCTTTGGGGGAATTAATGGATGTCTGAGAGGCGTAGCAAGGAGCAGGGCCAGGCCCCCCAAGGTGCTCAAATGTCATTGTCATGGGTTATGGAGTTGAGTGAGGTGCTGCCCCATCATCCCCTGTGAGTCACAGAGAGGAGGAGGAGGAACTGCTGTGCCCAATTATTCCATTAATGTCTCTTGAAATCAACACACCAGAAAGCCCTGACGGGATCACCCTGCGGGTTACATAAGCAGGGGTTGAGAAAGCACACAGGTAGGTGTGTCTAAACGAGGGTGAAGACGGTTCCCCGGGTCCCCCCACACTCACTGCACTTCTTCCTCCTAGTTTCAGGCGGACAGGGCCCCTCCGAGGCTGCCCCACAAGAACTGCGATCCCCGTGCTTTTCATTAACCCCGGCTCAGAAGCACGTTCTGGCCTCGAACCAACCCTGCTCCCACGGTTGCTGTAGCGAGCCTGTGGGATCTGTGGTCCCCTAGTGCCTTCCTAGCTTTTCCACCTGCTCCTCTCTCCTTTCCTAACTTTTGGGGGGGATTCTTGGCATAAGTGGGGCTCTCCCAGCCCTGTAGCTAAGCAAGAACTGTAGTCTACCCTCAGCACATCCTTGGCCCTTTTGCCGAGTCATCTAGAATATGCAACAAAGAGGTGAAGGGACATGTTAGAGGAGGCCCCTGACCCCAACAGGACCTTGTCTCCCAGGCTCCATCAGTCTGGGCTTTAGGGACTGGGAGAAGCCAAGGATTTTCTGGAACCTTGGCCTCCACCCTGGGAGATTCTGCCATCTTTGAAGGCAGGACCATCACGGAACTGGGCTGCAGTTTAGTTTTTTTTGTTTTTTTTTTTTGGTTTTTCTCCGGTACCGGGAACCGAACTCACGACCTTGCGCTTGCCAGGCAGGCGCTTTGCCGCTGAGCTAAATCCCCAGCCCTGGGCTGCAGTTTAGGAGGGGGAGCCAGCTTCTTCAGGCTCCAGTCCAGCCTTGAGGGACAGGCCCCTCTTAGGCTCTGCCCACACCCAGCCCTGGCACAGGTCAGGAAACCTTGAGTGTTCAGCCTCACCTGGGGCCCCCACTGAAGGCCAGCGCTCGAACTCCAGTAAGAAGTGGGTGAGTCCGCTGGAAGGCATTGGCCTCAGAGTGACCGCGTCCTCTCCCCCAGTGCCCTGTCTTTGGGTGCTTCTTTGTGGACACTCAGGGGCTGGGGTGAGTGGGAGGGCTTAGGGGCTGGAGCGGGAACTGATGGCGGGTGGGGCCAAGGGCCTGGCTCGCTGGTTTCCAGCAATGGCTGGGACACCAGTGTCCACGTGACTGGGAAAGTCCCTTCCTCCCAGAGTTAGAGCTTCTTTGGGGAAGCTAAGGCCTCTGAGCTACCCAAATCAGGAGTCCAAATCGGTAGGGTAGAAATTAGGCATCAGGATTCAGAAATCAGGTGTGGGTCTTCTGAGGTCTTCCCTCCCTGCCCAGCCCAGCCTGCCTGAGGACCTTGGGAACCACCAAGAGTTGATGATAAAATCACAATCACCTCGCCTTAATGAGAAGCCAAGTAGATAGACCAGAGGCCAGGAGACCAGGTAGGGGTCAGGGTCAAGGTGACAGGGTGAATGCGGGTGCTCAGGCCTAGGTGCTGCCTGTCTGATGGCTAACAGGAAGATTCGGTGTAAGAGCCCGGGTCTCCAGCGCCGGACGTTGACTCCCGATACTGTGTCAATGTGGGCAGCCTCAGTGTCTGCTGAGGCCCCGAGAGAACAGGTCCGGA